CCCTTTCGGTAGCCTTCATTATGAACACAAAGACCAGGCGTAAGCAGATCTGTCTGGCAAATAAAACTTCCTGCAAATTTCACTTCCTTGTGCCACCATGGTCACGTTCTGGGTACAGACATGGTACAACTATTACGCATGTACTGTACATTGTACAATGATCCATTACATGTAGCCCAATTCTTATTTCAATCCATGAAAACAATGTTGCACGGTACTGTACCGTTATACTGCATACATGTATGTACAAGCAAAGCTGGCGGTGTTATGGTCAAGTGGCACTAAGCACACACTTTTCTGCTTACAGAGTTTTCCTTCATTCTTTTGATTACCTCCAGGCTCACAGTACATACATGCAAAGCAAAGAGGAACACGGACAAAGTAGAGCACTGAATATTGCGAAGTCATGTTTTACAACCCAAAACATTTAGGTCCTACATGTAAGTCTGTGGATTTTCTCTGTTTTTCAAATACTGATAATGCAAAGTACCGGTATGCACCGGTACTCGTGCATGTAAAATGTACATACTGAGCAGTGAATGCATTTTGTTTGGGTTTTTTTTGCTGAGCATTGTTCACTGATGTACAGTATTGCAATAGAGCCCAATGTCGTAAGACCATCTCAAGTCCATCACAAACCATCCAACAAGAAGTCAAGTCACGCGCTGTTTAAATGAACCCTCTGTTTGTGTTCGCAAGGACATGACTGGACTTTGAAAGGACTTGTGACTGGACTTTTGCAGTCAGCTCGACTAAAAAAACTGACAGCAATCTGCATGCACACATGTCCGCGTGCGGTATTTTTGTCCCACTAAAAACCATACCCTCAAACTCAAGCTGGAGACGAGTTTTGGACTTTGGAGGATCGAGAAAATACAGCCCCAGCTACTGCCATAGCATGTGGGTAAGGCCTGGTCTCCATGTAGACGTAAGAAATGCAGAGAGCAACGCAATCCAGGCGCAAACTGCAACATGGACATATGGAATCGTGCCAAACAGAGGCGTCGTCAACAATGCAAATGCAAACCAGCCCGCGAACAACCAGCAAAGTTGAGCCAGGTTCAATTATGCCAACTGGCTGTGTCGAGTAGCCGTGGTATCCCCATACAAACACACATGCTGGCATGACCAGAGTGCAACGATGTCCCTCTCGCTTAGTTCCACGAATTTTACCCATATCTCCTAAGTAATGCTTAAAATTACATCTTTATGATCATCTAAATACCCGGTAACTGACCATTAATGAAAGGAATGAAACTGGAGTAAAGGTTTGGCATAATGAGGCAGAACGGTCAATCTAAAAGGGTATTTTCCGAAAAAGTCACAGAATTTGGGACGCCGCTTTGTTTCCATTTGTCGCTGACATGTCGTCTTGCACCCTTTCTTCTGTTCGCTTCTGCATCCACACGTCTTGCGGACCGTCTGCATTACAAACGACCATATGGAAAAACTGGGCTTATCTGAGCTCCAGCGCGGCGGGAGATTTTGAAGGATTCCGGAAGATACCAAGCGACAATACCTGGAGGATTAAGGGGAATTACCATACCGGTACCCACCAGTACAGAGCAGACCCCCACAAACTAAGAACGTGTGTGAAACAGGCTTCCAGAGCTACGGCTAGGTCTATTGTCTGCACGTCTACACGCATTTCCAATGGAGCGAAGACGTAGACCTAGCTCTAGACAAGAGATTTGGATGCAGCCTAATACTGGAACAAACCGGTGTGCAAAGTACCGGTACTGGTACATCAGGCTCAAATACAAAGCGTTGTTTCAAGCGTACATTTGTTTGTACATGTATGTACTTGGTAACACAGACTGTACATGCACAGTTGCCAACATTTCTCCTCATTCCTCAAGGCCCACCACTGTAAACACTCCATGAGGTCACACGCACAGGCAGGAAACTGCACAAGTTCAAGTTGCGTTGTTGAATTTTTTTTTTCTTCCCCTCTGTCCTTCAGACAGCCAAAGATTCACAGGGTTGGAGACCCTGTTCTGGAGTCCAAACTCCACCCTTTCAATCCAGGGCGGCACTCTACCACTCGGCCTTCAGAAAATTTGTTGTTTTCGGAATTTTCTTTTGATTTAGAAGGTTGTCTCTCTCTTTGCATGGGGTAACTTTCCCCAAGTTGAACAAGAAAAAAAAAGAAAAAGTTCAAATGGGAACCTTGGGGGACCAGATGCGTCCATACAGAAACCATTGATGACTGCATTATTATATTAAGGGAAGTTTTAGTGACACCCTTAGGGGGAGCCTACGGTGATTTATTAGGGTGGCTGACTTGACCCTGATCAAATGGTTTTTGTTCGGGAGTCAGTCAGGCAGAGTCCTCAGAAAAAATAAAAATCATCTGTGCAATATGGTAACTGAAGTGACAAGAAGATTGAAAGCTACGGGTAAATAGAACAAGTTTGAGTCAAACGACACACACACATGTGCTTGACCTTGTTTCTGAAGGCAGCTGACACCCAATCCTGTTGCATTTACGGCTGTCAGATTTTGTAACTGATGTTAGCAGCAATGCACACGTACATACCCTACATGTACTATATGCATACATAGTGTACATGTAGGTGTGCTGGTGAATTTCATGTGTGCACAGGTGAATTACATTTGCCAAACATATATCAGAGATAATCTGTGTCCATAACGAAGTACATGTACATAGGCCTACAAGTACAAGAATAGAAGTGTGGGTAAGTCTTGTGCTAAGCACACTGAACATCTGTTCCAGTAGGTTTAATCACTGTATTGTACATGTACATGTCATGGATCTCTACAGAAGACTGTACAATCATGGAAGGTGACTGTATGCTAGGCAGGTTTTTAACCCTAACACTCCTCAGTCCTCCAACAGGTGAAAGATTGAGGAGGGTTAGGGTTAAGTTCCCTGTGCAGGTTTTAATTTTGTTCACAACAACAACATTCAACCAAACACATTGTCAGTTGAGGTAGCACCGTACCACACCCTGCACAATCTCCAATAGTTCAGGCCTGTGTTCACCGGCACCCACATCATATCACTCATAATAATCCCGAGAACCCAAGCCCAACATTACATGGACATCTCTCTTTTATCTCCACCCTGGGGGGAGATACAGGCTCAGCAGGTCTACCTTTTTGACTTGCATGCCTGGACTTGCTCCCACAATGCCAACACCTACATGTACATGTACATCTAGCCTACTCATTGTTAAGCACCATGGTTCAACCACAGAGCTACATGTGCATGTAGGAAAACCCTTAAATCCCTAATAAGATTTTACAACCAGGCTACCCCTTTTTTGTGTCCGTTTCTCACACTAACCCTTCCTTTGAAGATTAACTGCCTGGCGAGACAAGCTCCCCCCCTCCCACCAATGCCTCTTTGTCTCCTCCCTCTTTATTTCTCCCACAAAGCCTCATCAGTATCCCATAATCCCTAGCCGGCCTCCTTTTCTCATTCAGATTCAGGGGCCACTTCTCAGCAGCAAAGTTTTTATCCTCCAACCCAGGGCAGCATCCCGCCACAATGGACGTCTGCATGGGACAATGGCGCGATGCCAGCTGTTGATAACATGCAAGGGAAGTCCATTCACAGGCCCACTTACGGCCCAAGGTGGTGATGAGAGGTTTTTCAGAGAGTTGACAGCCCCCCCCCTGCAACAGTCCTTTTCTTTCCTCAGAAACTTTGCTAAATGCGGCCAGAACCAAGATGTGTATGCACCGGTAACAGGTACCGTACCTGTACTCTACAGCCTACAGATATGGTACGGGTATATGTACATGTACAGTGTATGAGTGCACCTGTGTATGGTGGCACAACCTCGCCAGGGGCAGTTTGCAAAGAACTGCCAAAGGGTGACTTTCAAACTGATTAAAAAACTGCGCACATGCACATTGTCCATACATTTAACACAACAGACGGTTGCAAACTTAGCATGCGCTGTAGGCCTTCATCTACATTTAAATGCACCAAATTTGGTGCATACATACATGCACATGTCCCGTGGGCTCAGAGAGTGATGAGCGTTATTTCATTTTGTTGCTTTAAGAAATAAAACAGACAAAATATGGCCTGAAACCAAAACAAATACAGGTGCATGTGGACCCAACAATGAATCATTCCTACATGTACATGTACCTACATGTACATGTACCCTTTGTGTATACTGCCTTGAGGTATTTAGCTCTCCAGGGTATTTGAAGGAACAAATGATTCAATTAGGTAGTTGGGATATCATCTGTTTCCTGTCTTTAAGTAGGGCTTCCTAAAAAGAGCGGACGACTCATGACTTTGCACGGTAACTTTTCTTCCGGGTACAACACGAGACCGCATACCGAGTCCCCAGCTCTGTTAAGCTGGACACTTAACAACCCTTGGGCTGCAGAACCAATTACTGTCCACCGGTTCCGGAACTCAAGGGATGCGGAAATGTGGGAATAAAGGTCAAAATCGGTAATGCCGTCAGAGGCTTCGGAATGAGATTAGGGTCCAAGAGGGACTCCTTTCATGCCCAAGTCTAAATTTCTGAAGTTCTACATGTAGAGAGATGAAGAAAGGAAGGACTAAGATGTTTGATGGAGAGATGGGTAAGCAGTTTGGGGGTAGACAGACGCAGGCATGGAAGGCATTTACTGGATTAGACCCATCCACCAAGTCCCACCCACGATGTTCTGACCAATCACGGCCATGACCTGTGTCTGAAATGTGCGGACTGGGGTCTGACGTGTGTTAGCCCGTACATGTACGCGATGTGCATGGCTGGAACACGTATAATCTCAGAACGAAAGATGATGGGGAGAAAACAGGCTCTGAACACGATGAGGATACTGCCCTGGAATCTAGACTACGAAACAGGGACGAGACAAACGGGGACTTAGCACCTCGGAGGCACAAAGACAGCTCTCATTTCAAGGCTGCCGAGGATGAACTTGATCAAATGAGGGGTGGAGAGAAACGTTTAAACTCCCGGAAGGTCCGAGGACGAGCGGAGGCTTTTTTCATGTACATGTACCTTGAGGTCGAGGTGGACGATGTTGTTCTGATGCAGGTAGTAAACCCCCTCCAATATCTGTCGGACCAGCCTCACTACGTCCTGCTCTGTGAAGGCATCCTCTTTCTCCGCCACGCAGTAGGGATGCAGCTCTCCTCCCGCAGCACTAAAATAGATTAAACACACACGCAGAAAAGAACATGATTCGAAACTGCAAGTACAGGTTAACAGGACATGCAAACATACAAGTACATGTACAATGGGAAAGGTAAACAAAAAGCATGGCTCTTCCTGTTATGGTTAGTTTTTAATCGTGCTCAAAGTACGGCTTAATTGGATCTATGTTTTATATTTGTCCACTGGCACGCAACTCAAAACGGCTTCATTGCCGGTTTACAAGATGGCTGCGTCCACTGCGATAAGATATTACAGTGTAAATGGAAGGATGCTCAGGCACCACTGGAACGCTCAAGTATTTTCCTCGCACACAATAATACTATGGGCTTGTGTGTATTCAGCCAAAAAATTAGTTTCAACTGTATTTGACAGGCATTTTCAGTGCTCTTGCGAGTTATGAGTGCATATCAGGGTGATGTGTGTACAGGTCACACAGACTTACAAGCCCAAGTTACTCAAAACTTTTGTTGATTCCAGCAATCAATACGGCCGTTTCACAATAGTGTGCCACCAAGAGTTTGCAACGCGTTGGCCAATCACAATGCCGGAAATTTATCGACCCAATGTGCGTTTGGAAAGGGTTGACAAATTTCGTGCATTATGATTGGCCAATGCGTTGCAAACACTTTATGGTGCACTATTGTGAATCGCCCATATTATCAAGGTGCCCACAGGAATTGGGAAAACAAATTCCACATTTCCAGGACTTTCTCTGACTAAAACACATGTACATGCATGATCATGTCAGACAACATTTAGCACCATTTTGTAGAGAAAAACTGTTTAGTATTATGAACTGTTAGATTGCCATAGCCACTGCTACAGTGAAGCCAACAAACCTATCATTCCATTATCACGGTACGTAAAAAGCAGCCCATCAAAAGCAACCCTTGCAGGATTATGATTTCCGTGACTTTTCCATGACTTTCCAAGACAACTTCTCTCCAGGATTTCTCAAGACTGTGGGAACGCTAACTATCTTCAAAACAAACTTATGCTTTCATTCTGCTCTGACAATCAGCAAGTACATGTGTAGAGCCCATCCTGGAATAAAAATCAGGCTTGTACAACAAAAGCAGACTCACAATTCACTTAATCTCTTCGGACAGGCCCTGGATGTTACCCCAGGGGGGGCGTGCTGTATTAAAATCAATCATCGATACATGGATCTAACATCTGGTCGGGGGACCAATCCATTTAGCAGGTGTCCCCTGGAAATGTACACAAAGAGTGGGGGTTAACAAGAGCATTTCCCTGGAGATCGCTCCGACTCCCCCAAAAACCAAAAATCATAGTCGCAGGACTGAGGTTGGCTGGGGGTTTGGGTGTGACCTGGGCAACAGCAGCTGTAGGAGGAAAAAGATTCTTGCACTCAGTTGAAATGAAGATGGTGAAGGAGTGGAGTAGGGGGACAATGAATCGAGTTGTTGGAATCACAGTCGACTGTAGTCAACCAGGGCCTACGTACATGTGCACGTACCTCATACATTTACCAAAAAAATTCCATAATTTGGTTTGGTCATGTATGCGCTGTACACTACCAGTATGGAGACTTACATACATGTACATGCATAGATGTACATGTATTCCACATTAATAAGTAGAAGCTAATGGCAGTACATGTACTGTATTAGCTGGGTACCCTACAGAAGAGTACATTGATGTGAATGTATATGTTCGACAAATATGCATATATTTATAAATAAAATGTTCCAGTGCCTCAAATTTAAATCAAGGCAACAATCAACAGAGGTTCATGTATAAGTACATTTACATGTAGGTACAGTACATGTATATGTAATGTATCACCTCAGTTACAACTCTCTGTTGACTCTCTGTTGCCAATTTATGCCCTAGTCATGTGCCTCCGTGCAAATGTTGAGAGTCCTGAAAATGTTCCACGTGGTCACTGGCCAAGTGAACCATGTTTGATTGTTGGTGTCCGCACAATAGGGGAAGGAGGATTGGGAGGGAATACAAGCCCTTCTTGCCAAGTCCTTTGATCCACCCGGACACGCAGGCCACCATACTCTTTAACTGGCAAGCAGACACTTCTCAGTTTACATCAGGGCGGAGGTGTCTCATAATATCCATTGGAGGGTTCAATATCCTTCTGATTTTCCGCAGTGCTTCTCCCAAATCAGTTTTGCTTGGCGAACTGATCGGCCCACACGTCAACCATGAGATGAATACCTCTAACCTGGCAGCGAACCAGGAAATCAGCAACATGATGCCACCATTGTTTACATCACTAGGTCCCAGAAATTTTTAACGACATGCCGATACATTTTCCTGTTTTCTCATAGTGCGGCAACACTGGGGGAACACGCACTTTCACAATATTTAAGTGTTCAGTTTCTAAATGTTTATAAGCACTGGTCTCAAGTTTCAATCTAGTGAGCCCAAGCGCACATGTGCATTTCATGGAGGGAAAAAATTGGAAAAAAATCTGGTGCACGCAAAACTTTGTACAAGGTATCCATTTTAATTTCCAATGATCCAAATTTTGACTGTGCGAACAATGGACGCTCGGAGGTTTGAAAGAAATCTGCCAATACCCGCCTAATCTACACGCCTATCATGACACTTCTCCACCGTCGCTCAAAATGAAGCCAAGCTGAAGAGGCTGCTCCAGTTCCCCCCAGCCTGTCTCTTTTGTGTTCCTATCCCGGCACTCCAGCTGGCACTAGAACACTATCTGCGTATCTTCTGACTGACAGCCCCTCTTTGTGCATCTCCACTTGAAACTTTGCGTCGGTTGATTTGTTCGGGACATGTTGGGAATTTTGGGAGCCGCAGATCAGAGGCTGGCTGGTGGATGTTGAGGGCTGAGGGGGCAGAGGGATCAAGCCATGGGGGGTTGGTTTCGTTTGTCCCATTATCAAGGTGACGTCAGTTGGTACTCCAACCGCACAGATAACACCAAGGAGAAAGAATGCCTCAAATAGCACCCGTACATGACAAACTCGTAACTGGTCACCAGGATTGTTATTTTTGTTTTTACCAAAAAATCGGGTCATCACCAAGACTGCAGGGTAGGTACAATGTACCTGCCTTTCAGAACCCCCCGGTACCTTGGCAACTGCACATCTGGTGGGAATTTCGGGTCAAACAGGAAATGTTTGATCTGTGCAAAAGTTGAAGATCTTTCCTGTTAACAGAACTGGTGAACAAATCTGTAATTCTAGTTTCATTACGCGTACAGTATGTGACATTTGCTGATGAGATTACCGCAAATATTTGCGGGTTTTTGTCTCCAAAAATACATTTCAGGGCATGTGTTTCATTACCTACTGTCCATATGTACACGTCCCATGTACATGTATGTACAAAACCTGTACCTCTGGCCTAATTTCTTATAAATACATGTACCTCTATGAGATTCGACAGAGGTAATTCGGTACAACTACACGTTGGATGCAAATGCAGCTCCTCGGGTCACATTGTGGTGGTGGGGGGGGAACATATAGGTAAAAGGTTACAAGTAAGTACATGTATGCATGCCTGTGCCCATGTGAAATGACAAAACTGGTTCACGGCTCATCCACAAGTCCCTGCATTGCAAGTCACAGGTATCGCCACATGGACAGTTCACACTCTCCTGCGACCTCCCAAATAAACTTGTGCCAGGCCTCCAAGAACCTGTGCAAAGCACCCCCTCCATCCCTAAGGCCTTGTGTGGGTTTGCTTTTATTTTTCCCCCCTCCCCTGTGCGGAATGTGGCCAGCACATTGCTCCATGTGTTAGCCACATTACGACACCAGGGCCCAGACAAGGCAAGCTTCCCACTGTTCGCCAAGCAGTGCCAATTACTCTCCTTGTCACGGCCGAGTGGGAGACAGTCCCAGTTATTTATTTTCCCCCCCATTTTTTTTTTCTTCTCCCAGCATGATTGGAGAGTTTTCACGGTGAAACGCACGCAGTCGCGCTATGTGCACACGCTCGAAGTGGCTGCTCCAGATGATTAATTATTTTCTGGGTCAAAAATTCAACGAACGCTGTTCGGAAATGAAAACCATAAAACAAGAAAATAGGCAACCACTAAATTATCAGAAAAGCGGAATACAGGAAAAGACAGTTAAAGTGCAGCAGGATTTAGCTGATCACACAGCATGACTGTAGGATAACGGAGTCCAAGCATGCTTGACTTACATGTAACAGACCAGAACAAAAGCCAGAAGACTTAAGAGATTAGGCAGCAGGGATTGAACCAATGACTGACTCTTCACTCAATAGGAGGGCTGCCGGTAGTCAACACCCAAAAATTTAAGAGTAGGGGTAGAGCAACACAAATACTGGCTAGACCACAATCCCATAAACACAAAACAGAACTTCCGCAAGCCCTACACAGGATGGCATATTTCCAAGGTGATCGCCTGTTAGTGTTCTGAAGAGAGATAACCCTAATCTGCCAACCTTCACATTCTCAAAGGATTAGGAAATTACATTCTTATCAGTCTGGCTAAATTACACGCAGTAGATGTTCTTGTGTGTAGCCATACCTAGCATATTCAAGTTCATTTACACAGAAGTGGGTTTTCCATCATTCCAAGATAATAGCCATCAAACAAGGGAAAACAACACTGGCAAGTGTTTATTTTTTGTGGTGGGTGCCAGACAACCACGGGCATTCCATCAGCCTGTGTGGGTGCACTGACTACATGGGGAAGGTTGGGCCAGGGGCCCGGGTCTGCCTGGATCCAACCTCTGAGGGATCGAGGTCACGGTGTGGGTGATGGAACCTGAAAGGAAGCATTATCCCACGGAATGGGGGTTTGGAAATTGCTAATGAGGGGTCGGGTTCCCGAAAGTGCAAGTTGCTGGGACAACAGAATATCACTAGGGTACTACTGGGTCAGGGGGTGCAGGTTGGCAATGCGGTGCTCATAAAGGAAGTACTGTATTGTGACGAGCGTGGGGCTGCGTATTCCGGAAATTGCGCATAAAAGGACAATTGTGCGGTTCCCCGTTAGTCACCACAGACATCGGATGCTCTAAATTCCTTTTCCCTTTTTTCCAATCCTGATAGAGTGAGGTAACAATGCAAAATTTGCACTTAAGTTTTGGCCTGCATTGCTGGGCACAAATTCCACTAACTGACCACAGTGACTGATTGTTTGCCACTGGATAAATTCATACTCCACATTATAGGCTCGAAGCTGACAGGCCCTCCACCCACCCTTCACAAGTTTGTTTAGCTCCTGATCGAATTCTCATATCAAATGCAATGTCTCGCAGCAGAACCAGGCTGTTCTCAGAATTGCTAAAACGGCATCCAGCTGACAAGCAAATAAAAAAAAAAAGATTCCTCCAAGAAACTTGTTCATGAAGTCAGGTTGTCACACCCGGCTACATTATCCTGCTTTGGCAATATCTCCTTCAATAAAATGTATTCAGGCGTGGAAATACAGGGGAAACGCTCAAAATGGTTGGCACACAAATCTGAATGTAACTTGTAACATTTGGCGTGACAAAAATCAGCCATTCTGAGAACCAAAGCTGCATGCTCGCATTCTGTTCCAGTTTCAGATGAATGATTTTAGCCACTAAGTGCCTGCTTTTGACATCAGATATCAAGAGCACAAGATAAGAGAGAGCCACTTTCCCCTTCTTGATTCAAAAGTGGTCTTTCTTTGAGCTTGTAGACGACTGTGTCCCATAAAATGAGTCTTCAGGCCATGTTCAAAGCAATTCTGTTTGCATTAGGTCTTAGAGCAAACTGAGCTGAGTGAGATCTTTGGACACGTATCGCTTTAAGTGTAGTATGGCATCCTACTGAAAATGGGCAGTGAACTGCACTAGCACATTTATGTGGATGAAAAAGTTGGACGAGTTCCTTCCACAATGCAAGACTCTTCCAATGACCTTTACATGTAACTCTAACAGTGGCTCTGGCGACTTCAACTCCTACTCATCAGGCTGGATAAATAAATTTCTTGTTTTGTTTGTTTGTTGGGGTGTTTGTTTGTTTGTTTGTTGGGGTTGTTGGGTTGTTTGTTTGTTTGTTTGTTGGGGTGTTGGGGTGTTTGTTTGTTTGTTTTTCCTCAGCACTTACAATTCCAGCACAAGTATGACCTCACTGGCCGTCTCAAACACCTCATGGAGCCGGATCATCCGGGGGTGGTCGGTGGACATCTCCAGGATGCGGATCTCCTTCAGGATGTCCTCACGGCAGGACCGGCCCATCTTGCGCTTGCGCACAAACTTGGCCGCAAAGTCCCGGCTGCTGCTGACGCAGGTGCACTTGCGCACCACAGCAAAGCGCCCCCTACAAAGTGCACAGAAACAACAAACAGTTTCAAAACTAGCTCTACAGGTACAGGTACATATATTCAAATTTAAAAAAATAAAATTTGGAAAAGTTTGGTTTCATAATGGAATACCATATCTGACTACATGTTTACATGTATACAGAAGCTGATCACAATCTGTGACAATTATTTTTCGACTTTGAAATAAATTGTCCAAAAGTCCACGAGGCTATTTACACGAAGCAGTGATGTACATGTACATACACCAAAGTAGACTCTGACAAGCTACATGTACATGTATAATGACAGGAAATTTGATCGCATGTAAACATGTCAACAAAACCCACTGTGTGCATGTGAAATACAATGTCAGTCAATTGTATAACACTTGTCACTACTTATGTACATATACATGTAGTACTGTACATGTACTCTGTACAAGTTTTCAAAGAACATGCCTACAATATGATATACATGTAACTGCATCCTTTTTAGGCATGCAGGAAAGCTATTACAGGGTTTGTTCACAGTTTCTGGAAGTTTTGAACATTAATTTCCCTCATCACATACCCACAGGATTTTGCGCTTTGCCGTAAACCATGCACATGTACATGTATGTACCTGAGGTTCAGGGAATTTTTTCTTTCCTGATGACAAACATGTGTCAGCAACCACAGCAGAGGCTAACTCAAACAAAGTACCGTAAATTATCGTACAGAAACTCAGCGAGGATTTTCATTTGAATGTGCACGTCTTCCAATGGTTTTCCTTTCCTTTCCGGCAAAATTACCTGAAGCAATGGCATGTACAGAACTACCAGTACATTGTAACAAGTGCCCTTAAGAGAGTACAAGGAAGTAATTCTGAACAACTTCAGACAGTTACCACTGCCACCCTCTTTGCCATAATATTGAAAGGGTCTATAAAATTTACACAGACAGGGAGTGTGGAGTCTGCCTTATCTACCAAGACCTTTGTTCTCCAACTCCAAAGCACTTCTGTGTAGAGAAAGCAGGCACCAGACCCTCTCAAATCTCCAGCAATCTAATTGTGTAATGGGCTGTGTAAGTTTACACATGTATAAAAATCGGCATAGGCTTTGTTGTTGGCTGAAGACACCAACATGTCTGTACCCCAACCAAAAAAAAATCCCCCAGGAATTCCAGCAATGCAAAGCCGAAATAACTTTTGTTATCAATCCTTTATTAGACTGCTACCTTCTGCATACCAACCCCATTAATTTCCACATCCTGGGGTTTCCCAGGCTGCACCCCCCACCTCAACGCACCACCACAAAGGAGAGTAAAAATGCTTCACTGAAATACCGTAATAGTGTAAAGAAATAAAATTGTTGCAAGACACTGACAGAGTCCCGAATAAAGGCGTAAATTTTATGAAGATCCTTCCAAACACTCTGGTGAACTACATGTATTTGGTTTATGCTTTTGTATGGTTGCTACTCAAGCTTGTGCCTTGATTGCCAACCAGAGAACAGTGACTGACACTGTTTTGCACAGGACCTTGAAGCAGAAATGTGTACTTTCTGATTTTTTTTCCCTGCCTTATATGTGCCAATGTGGTCTGTTAGCGCACATGCTGAGTCTCACTATGGCATGTTGACATTTTTGTATGCACCCCCAAAAGGTTTAAATATAGCCACAGCCTTTCCTTGATGTTTAATGTCCCGTGAACATGAATTCTCACTGCTCCTTTTGCTTCTTTAGGGTTGGTCTAAAGGCTATCTCTGTGTCCCTGGAAGCAAAGACTACTGTGCCCACCGAGCAACATCTTCACCTTCAGAAACTGAAAGAAATGTTGTTTGCATTTGCAGTCTTGCAGTTAAGTTTACTCAGCTGTTGGTCTGTGCATCATAAGACGGAAGTAAATTTTACTGAAACTGAAAAAATGAATCACAAACCGAATAATTGCCCTTCTTGACATTTTAAAGGTTATGGAAGGTTTTGTGGTGACACTTCTCCACTTTTTTGAGAACTGAGAACACATCAGTCCGTGGTGTATACATGAGCAGGGCACCAATGAGATCCAACTGTAGCCCTAACAATCCGTTAATGTCTTTATTATGTATCACACAGGAATAAAGCCGATTGTCACCTTTCAGTTGGGGAGGGGGGTGTCAGGACCCAGGGGTCAATTTATGTTAGAAGTTTGTGCATATTTTGTTGGACATGGGATCGTGAAGGTCACATACCTTATGCCTTCTTATCAGATTTGTAATCCAAATTCCATTCGGCATTAATCAGTTCTATAATCCCAGTGCCTAGCAAATCCCCAGCAGATCCCCCTTTGATTAATAATTAATCCGAGTGCAGAAGGGGCAGGCGATCGATGCACCAACCCCTTCCCCCCCTCTCTGGCTTGGTACCAGTAGCAATTTTGATGATGCATGGTACAATCTTTGATGTACATGTATATGAAGCGGTATATGTTTTAATTAGTTTGACACCTGCCATTAGCATTTTTATCATCTTTGATATTAAAGCCTGGCACCTGCCTATATGATGTACAATGTGCACTGTACGCACCCGGTAAAACAAACACTCTCAGACATGAGCAGCAACTTGAAGTTCTGTGCAGTTAGTTTTTTTAAATGGGAGGCACAGGTACACACGTACATACATGTACATTTTAGGTGCCTCATTAATTTGTGATTTTCTCCTCTAACACCGATAATAACAATATAATATAAATATATAATAATATTGATGTCATTGAAAGTATGGACTGGGGGTGGGGGGTGTTGTGGGCAGTGGGGGTGGTACATGTCAGGGTGCATACAAACTGTGTACCGTTTCAGAACAGGTGTATAATCACCTTCAACAGCATACAAACAGAGGGAGTGGAAGTACATGTACGTAACGTGCATCCATGTTTCTTTATCATGTAATTTCCTTGAAGATCTTTGAGCTTCAAATGCACTTGACTCCATCCACTCTCCACAGAAGGAGGAAGTACATGTACATGTAAGTATAATATTCAC